TATTTTTAACGTTTTAAGTGAGAGAACAGTTCACACGCTGATTATGTTATTTGTTACGTTGATATCATATTAGGAAGTGCAATTAGCTAAAAGCCATATGAATAGCAAGAAAAGAAAACTGCACTGAAATATTTGATGATTATGACATATGTAGACAGTTGGATTGTTAACCTTGTTTCTAATTATAAACAGTAAACTGCCTCATAGAGAAATGTCAAGCAAAAAGAATCACTTTTCTACATAATGGTGGATAGGATGTAGCTACATATTGGTGATTTTAGATGATTGGATTAATTATTTCAACATTCATCTTCGGTGTTTAACATCAACAACACATACCTGTATTAATTTACTTTCAAACTAAAGATAAATATGGGTTTGAATCTAAATTTAATCTTTGTATAGCTAAACTAGGAGCTGTAAACACAACATTAAAATTAATTTTAAATCAAAACTAGATAAAGTTGGCAAAAGATGAACTAAGAGATATATTTTTCAATTATCTTTTGGCACTGAGTTTATAAAATAACATGAATTGACTATTATACCCCTTTAATCTAGCCATGAATATAATATGGGTGGAAAAAAAATTGTAGGTACGGATCAAAATCGGACCAAAATTTTCTACATATCTCAACAACTTTTTAAGCTTTGTGAAGAAAAACTCACTATCAATACTAATACAATCGATAAAATGTTTATTAGAGACATATTTATGGGATTAACCCTCCCAGTGTTACTTGACGAAAATTCGACAAGCAGCACACTTTGTGTAGTGTTACTTGTCGATTTTTCGACACGCAGACATCGTTTACGGCGAAGGCTGTATGACTGACTGAATCGGATTGAACTGGATCGAGTTAGGTATCGTTCTTTCCGTAATATTCTAAGCTTTCTCCAGAGGTCTGTCTCAGCGCTGTACGTTCTCTGAGCCGATCGTAATTGTAGCAGACAGCTGACGTGCGTGTATTTGTAAACAGCTAGGTTACCCTGGACCGATGACTGATGTGTTTTATTATGTTTATCATTGTTTTAGTGTTAAAAATCAAAAGTAGTGATATACGTGTTGCATTATAAGAAGATTTAAGTGGTTTTGAAGTGCTGGTTGATGATCCTGAAGAAGTAGGTAGTGATACCTTATTGATGTAAATTATCAGCCAGATTCCTAGCTATGGTTAGGCTATGCATTCTTAGCTAAACGCTATGTACTGAAATCTGTTTTTTGCCCATAACTTATTTATTTGCAAATCTACTTCCTTATATTATTATATATTTGTAATCCTCATAAAATTTAGAATAAAGTGGCTATTTTCAAATATTTATAGGCCTATAATTTATACAATTTCATTGAGCGCGAACTTATTTTTTTTTTTTAATTTTCGAAATTATATTTTTTTTTACCTAAAAACTTTTTTTTTGAAAAAATGTTCCTTATGTTTTGTATATAATATTGAAGCCCATGATTTTCCAAACAAAATGGTATATAGAACATTAGAATTAACATTGTTTTAAGCTTCTCAGATCCGTTTTAATAAAACCTTGCAAATGCGCCAAAAATAGGTGGACATTAAGGCCTAAACTATGGACACTTGGAGGGTTAAGCTCTTAACTTTAACTGAAAAAATCTCATAGTCACATATTTACAACCCCAAATTACCTCATCTAAGACAAAATATTGAAAAAGGTAGAATCAATACAACTAGTTTTATATCCACTACTTTAAGTTTTTAGTGAAGAAATAATAGAATAATTAATAAAAAAAATCACAAGGGAACCACTTATAATCAACTGCTTAACTATTGACCTAAAAACAATTTATCAAAATTTCATTTTCATCTTAAAACCAATCCAAATATATTCTAAATCTATGCAGAACAATTTTCTTTTGTCTTCAGCGTCGTCCTCTTCTTTCTTGACTTGAGTTTGTTTCCCATTAAGTTAACATTAAAATATCTTCTTAACACGTTCGCTGCTGACCGCTAGATGCCTGGACGGCGCCAGGAGCTGAACCAACGCTCGCTGCTGAGTAAACATTGCTGCCGATACACTGAATTACAGTAAAAACAACAGTAGCTATACTGGATGGCAATGTTCTGCAATAAAACTGGCTTTAGACACAGTACTAAGTGATTCTGATAGATAGCAGCACTACCCAGGTTGCAGTCGGTAAAATAGTGTCACTATCTAGCAGGAAAGAGGTGGGACCTGTTCTAAACGACCCTGGTGGTGATTTTGGAAACAATATTTTTTATTGTCAGAAAAGTACGTCCCCACGAGCTGCAAAGAAATAATAGGACGCTCGTGACGAGCTGGCTGATCCATGGTAATGTTAAACAACAATGAACGGCGACGTTCCGGAACGTTCCTAGCTCCTGGCACCGTGGCCCGTTTGACGTTCTGTAACGTCCGTAGCAGCGAACGTGTTAAGATTTAATTTGATACATTTTTAACTGAATTTGGTCTAGTTAGTCATTTAAGCCTTTTGTGCCATCAAGTATTTTATTAGGTGGGATTTGTGCAAGCTTTTTCAGAACTTAAAATCTGGAAAAGAAAGAGAGAAAATAATGTACAGTACCTACAAATACAAGGGGACATTTAAACCAGGAATCATTTGTATTAAAAACTTAAACTCACAGATTCCTGAGAAGCGTAAAAATTAAAAAATTCTAAATAATGTACAAAGGCCAATGCAATTTTCATGTCAAGAAGATGAAAAACATCCCAAATAAAGACATTTTACAAAACTTAAACACAGAGAATCAATTAACTGTAAAGCAAATTAGATTTATAGAATGGAGAATAATTATAGTTTTATACAAACAAATATTTTTCTTTAACACTGCTTGTGAGAAGGATTCTTAAACAATGTTGTAAAAACCAAGCCATTGCTCAGTACTTTGTACTGTTTGAGGGTTGTTTCAGTACAGTTATTTTGGTAAAAATTAATAACAATTTGAAGGGGTGATATTATTTTGGTGAAAAGTAAGTCAAAGAAAAGAATTTTACATTTAGGAACAGGAACCGAGTAAAATGTAGCTTAAACCCCTAGAAGAAAAGATATTTTTATTTTTAAGAATGATTCGTTTTCATCAGAGCTGCAAAAATCTTTCAAAATGAGGCTGTTGGTTTAAAATAACACTTAAAACATTCACGAAGTTATGTTAACCACAACAAAACCAATGGTGAAATAAAAATTAACAATTCGTATTTAATGAAATGTATAATTAAATTTACAAGTTCAACAAAGCCAATATACAGGGTGTTTTTTTAAAAACTTGCATCTTTATTTATGTAAAAACCGCAAAAGATAGAAATATGCAGTTTGCGGGAATCATCTATTGACGTAGGGGGACCAATTGTTTTGAATTCAACGTTACATTCACATTCCCCCCCTTTCCCCCCCTGCCCCAACTTATTTTTTTTTAATAGCAAGGTACCCCTTGTGACATATCAAATAAAAGAGCATGAAAAAAGAAAATTTTTGATGAAAAAAATTGAAAATCGGTTCATAAATTTGTGAGATATTTCCCCCCTCACCCCCCCCCCCCCCCGGAACTTAATTTTTTTTAATAGCAAAGTACCCCTTGTGACATATCAAATGAAAGAGCATGAAAAAAGAAAAATTTTGGCGAAATTTATTTTTCATTTGATATGTCACAAGGGCGGGTACCTTGCTATTAAAAAACAAGTTATGGGTAGGTGAAAAGGTGGGTGATTATCTCACAAATTCATGAGCCGATTTTAAATTTTTTTTCACCAAAAATTTTCTTTTTTCATGCTTTTTCATTTGATATGTCACAAGGGGTACTTTGCTATTAAAAAAAAATTAAGTTCCGGGGGGGTGAGGGGGGGAATATCTCACAAATTTATGAACCGATTTTCAATTTTTTTTCATCAAACATTTTCTTTTTTTATGCTCTTTTATTTGATATGTCACAAGGGGTACCTTGCTATTTAAAAAAGTTAAGTTGGGGGCAGGGGGGGAATGTGAATGTAACGTTGAATTCAAAACAATTGGTCCCTCTACGTCAATAGATGATTCCCGCAAACTGCATATTTCTATCTATTGCGGTTTTTACATAAATAAAGATGCAAGTTTTTAAAAAAACACCCTGTATAATAATTTTATTTTATTCACTATTTAATATAATTCATATTTAAATAAATCATTGATAGTGAATTTATTTCTATCACAACCAGAGGCAAATTGAGTTCTAACTTACAACTGATAATTTTGAAATAGTTTCAAAATTCATTCTAATTTCCAAAAGTAGGATTAACAAGGTTCTACAGTAAATCGTTAATGAAAGGAAACAATGATTTGAATTGAAAAATGGATTTTTAAAATAAAATGACAAATTTCTAATTAATAAAATGTAAATACCATTTCTCTCGGCCGGCCTACCTTGACTGTTTTACTGTCAGGAACTCAAGAGGTAGGCCTAGTAGAGTCAGGTCATCTGCAAAACCAAAAGCAACTGCCAGTAAATTGTTTACATAATCATTCTCACAAGCTAGGCAAAGTTGATTAATTCCTGGTTAAACCATGTCACATAACGGGTAAGGGACAAGGGTCAAATGAATTCAAAAGGGCGCCTGGATGTTAAAAGTGGTTAGAAATTAACAATGAGTACACCATGTAACGTTCATCGAAAAACTTGAGTATCAAAATAAAGAAAATAAATTTATGCATTAAACTTAGATATCTCCAGTAGCCTAGCATTTAAATTTGATCCACAAGAAAAAAATCTAAAATGTATCCAAAGAGAAGAAAATGCTACCACTACCATGTTTTACTGAACTACTAGGCCTAGTGTACAATGACGGCTGAAAACCATAGTCAGTAATTTAAGATGAACAAAATATAGTTTGAAATGAATTAAGTGAAAGATTTCAATTCAATTCAATTCAAATAGTTTATTGCCATTAAGTATACATGTCATACAATAGGCCAGGTCAATGGAGATAATACTAGATATTTGTTTGTGGGCTGTTGTCAACATTTTTTTAAAATCCCTTAGTTGTTGATCGTGTAGTTAACAATAAGTTGTCGTTTCAGTTTGGCCAGGTTAAAAAGTTCACAGCAGCATAATTTATCAAAAGGCTTACTTTGACTACGTTTATTTTTATGCTAGAAGTGGCTACAATTTTAACGAGAGAATAAAATGTCTAGTTCTACACAGAGTCATTAGCATCTCCTGCAATTGCGACAAAAACCATGATCACCCTTGATTGCAATGATACCAAGAGATTACTGTGTGTTGAAGTATCTTTAGAAGTTCTGGTCAAAAATGAGTAATACAAATTCTGTAAGAAACTCTCACACTTACGGGACTTAAAACACTTGAATAAAAACACAGCAAAAGTATTTTGAAAGTTTCCAAATTAAAAAACTTTGTGCAAAAACATATGGTAACTGACTGATAATTTCTTTCCACTTTTAAAATAAAATATATCACTGCACCACAAACTGGTTACTTTGAAAACATTTATTTACAAAGCAAATACATTTTTCCAATATATTACAATAACATGTTAACATGTACGAGTGCAACAATCACTTATTTAAAATAATCTTTCAGCTACCTGACATCTAGGCTATATGTTTAACATTTTGAAAACGAATCATGTAACCTTTAGTAACGTATTTTTAGACCAGATTTCTCTATACCTAATAGCCTGTTTTCCTGGTAATTTACACAATTAAAATAGAACTGTGACAAAAAATAACTTTTCTGATAAAAAGTTTTTCCACACTATCGGTTACCTCTGCGGACACTAAATCTTCTCTTGGATGAAGGAATGCAGCAACGCCTGATTTATCGGTATCCGTTTGCTGGAGTCCAGCATCAATATCTTCTCCAGCAAGTCCTTCAGCTGGTTGACCTTGCGAGCTTGGTCGTCAGGGAGGTGTTGGTTGCCGACCAACTCACTCTGCAAATCCCTCGTTATGTTGATTGTGGACATGGTTACCACTTTTTCCTGTAAAAGTAAAAGATCAGTTTTCCATTTACCACTTCGAAGTTACAATTTAAATTGACCATTTAAAATATTGTAAAGACGGTAGACGTAATCAATGGGAAAACATAAGATAAATATGATCCTCCCCTTATAACTGATCATGCCCTTGGATAAGTGTGGCATGGAGCAGCTGTCATAATGTCTGTTCATAATCTGACTAATGGAATATCACCCTGAAGAAAAATAATAGAGTATAATTCCTAGGCGCTGAAGCGGAGAGAGGAATGCGGAGAGCGGAAAAGAGATTAATATGGTGTTCCGCTCCGCTTCTAGGAAAACAGTAACACTAAATTACCTAAGACAAGTTGAGTCCGCTCTCCGCGTTCCTCTCTCCACTTCCACGCCTAGGAAAACCCGACTTTAGGAGTACAGTAAGGCTTCAAACTAAATTATTTCTTTATTTAAGCTCTACAGACAAGATATTGGAAGGTTTGGAAAGTATATGTGAATTTTTATGTTTTTAGGGGGGAAAACCTAATTAGACCTTTTACCCCATAAAAACCCCTGTTCCCATAGACCTATCCTAGGAACCATCATAGGTTCAAGAACTCGTTCAAACGTTTGTAATTCATCAAAATCAGATCATAATTGCTCAAGTTATTGAGCTAAGGACATATATACATTTGATGGTATTTTTGGCCTCTGGGGACCTCAAAACAAAAAAGTCAGTCGGTCCCGGGTCTAGGTTTTACCATGAGACCTACAATGATTGCTTATTCCCTATATGGGAAATTCACTAAAGCACAGACATGACAAAACTTTAGCTAAACTGTTTACGCCATGAAATTAATTACTGTTGTACAAATGTAATGCAAAATATAAATATTTTTAGTAGAAAACACTACACTTGACTTACTCTCTCTGTGACTTTATCAACTTCATGAGACAAGAAGTTACAGTTGTGGTCAAAATGTTGATCTTTGAAAGCTCCTTTTCTGATCAACTTGTTTGGGAATTTCCCCTTGAAATCCATGAAATACTTGAGCATCTGTAAGCAAAACAAAAGATGAACCAAAAACATTGTTAGAAATGAAAGACAAATCATTCGATGTTAAAGTATCTTGATAAGAGTTGGAGCACAGTTTTGAAACACAAGGAAATATAGCTCGCCTCAAGAAATAATAATTAAAAACTGCAGCTTGCTCCCAGGGTTCTGCAGCATATCTAAAACATTAGCCAGTACAGCAAAACTCCAACTATAATTACCTACACACTTAAATAACTATAATAATTGCTTACAAAAATAAGTTTAAAAACTTAAAACCACAGTAGGCCTATCAATAATCTTTAATAAAGAAGTCAGAAACCTTGATTGCAGCAAAATCTCAAACCTCAACGTACAAAAATACATTTAACTATATGGCCTACTAATTCGAGGTAAACGGTCGTCACCTAATACAGATCTGCTCGCATGCCGAGACTCAACCGATAAAAAATTTGTCAGTCTTTAATCTTTAATCCACCAGTCTTAAATCTTATTCTACAATTTAAAATCCTGGCCTAGCCTTTCCTTAACCTCATGGTTTGATATTTTCTTTGCTCTGAAAATATGGAAGTAGGCTAGAATACTGAAATATACGCTTAACATTTTAAAGGTCAGAGTTATGCAACAAAAAATAAACATCTTAGAAGCAATCATTTTTAAAATTACAGTTTTTGTCATTTAAAAAAACAAAGTATAACTTATCGAACTTACAGTACATTTTGAATGTAAAGTATGGTTGCATCCTAATCGTACCTGATTGTTGGATTTTCCAGAGAACATAATTTTCCCAGTGTACAACTCATAAATTGTACATCCGGCCGACCACATGTCCACACCAAAGTCATACGGGATGCCTAGAACTAGAAACAACAAGAGTTACAAAGTTGTCGGAGGGAAACAAGTTTATAAATTTAAATATCAAAGTAGCTGGAAAAGAGCTCCATAACCCAACATTTCAGTAACTGGAATTGTTTACTGAAAATAAAATATATGTAGATGACTATGTTTAAAAAACACTAACATTTTACTGTACTATGTTAAAATAATACAATTATAAGGCCTACTTTAAAGTCGGTACTTACTGACTTCTGGAGCTCTGTAGAATCGACTCACTAAGTAAGGAGTAATTTCATTTTCTGCTACATGTGATGCAGAACCAAAATCACACAGTTTAAGCACCAGTTTGTTTTCATTTACCTAAAAACAAAAAAAGGATCTTCAGACACTTCATGTCATGGAATAAGAAATATTAATTCTATTTATTCTCGAAAAAGATAAGAATTATAATACTATACATCAAGTTTAAATTCTTCTAAATGTGTAAAAGTTAACTATGCAGATAAGTTTACTAATAACTGCTTTACTCACCAAAATATTGTCTGGTTTTATGTCAGCGTGTAGAATATTCGCTTTTTTAAGAAGCTTCAGCGCAAGAAACAATTGCTGACTATAAGAACGGACTGCTTTTATATGAAGTCCAACATCTTTGCCGTACTTTTTCAGCACCTGAAAACAAGAAAAAAGCCACATTATTTAGGTTCAAAATACAGCACATATTTTAATTTGTTTGAGACAGAACGTAACACAGTAAAACAACAGTTCTGCAGGAAATGTTCTAGGTATCTAATAATTTAAAATACTTCCTGCCATATGCTGATGCTGTGAATGGTTTTACATTTGCCAAAATTATGAGAGTTCCTCTACATGACAAAATTGGAGGAAAGGTAAAGAAAACAAATGGAGAAGGTTCATAGGCTACTAAAAGGTATCAACTCAATTACTTGTAATAACTGATATCAAGCAGTAATTATACACAGTTTCAACAAAATGTAAAATAAACTGGCATCTTAAATTAACTTTAAAATTAAAAATTTTTTTTGGAAAAAATAGTAGATTATTGGGCAATTACTCAATTTAGTTAGTTCATCAGAGTGAAATAGAGTTTCTACCCAATACGTTAAATTACTATAAAGCCAGGAAATTAATCGACTAATAAAAATATAAATTGAAAAGCAAACCTAAAAATAGTTTTAAAAATTTAATGTTTTGCTTTTAGGATTGTTTAATACTAAATATTTTTTCTTACCTCTCTCAAATTCATACTGAGCGGCTCAAAGACCATACACAAGTGCTGCTTGTGAAAGAAATGCCTGAAGAGTCGTAAACAGTGGAATCTATCCTCGGGATCTGTGTCGTTCAGTCTCTTCAGGACTTCCAACTCCTTTAAACCTGTTTTGTGCCTAAAAAGAAGAAAATAATTAAAATTTCTGACTAAAACATATAATTTTTGTATCTTTGTCCTAACTTTTAGAACGAGCAAATGAAATAACACTGATCTTGTCTGCCTATTAACAGTGGTTGCCTAAAAGAAAGTAACATTCTGGACAAGAGAGTAACAGGGGACAAAATAATAGTATTATTTTTACCTATTACCAAAAAGCTATGGAAATTTCAAGTAACGGTATTTCCCATCTTTACAACACACCTTTCTAACACAATCTTTACCTTTATCGAAAAAAGATAGTTTAGTATTCAAAATATACTGCAGGGTGTCCACAGAAAATTTGTCATTAATTACCGTGACTCACGAACTTTACTCGAAAATTATAATATAACATACACACACGAATAATACTGCATAGACAACTTATTTCACAGAAAATATATACTTAAATGTGTATTAACAGTAGGGATGGTCAAGTCTCGAAATTTCGGGAAATTTTCGGGAAATTTTAAATCTCGTTACACAAGACGAGATTTCTTTTTGGCCGAGATTTTTATCGAGACGAGAATAAAAAAAAAAAAAAAATTTAAATTTAAAAACGCCTGCAGAAAGTCAATGCAATTACCCGCAATACAGGAGCGTGTTGTAGTTGCGTTTCCTTTGCGAAGGCGTTCTTATTTAATTAATTCTTTAAATGTAAATATTACTTTAATTATTTAAATAATATTACTTTAATAACATTTGAGAAGTTTTGTTAAGTGTAAGCAGTGTGAGGAATGTTTTATTACTATAAAAAGTCAAAACAAGTAACTATTTTATAAAAATTAATATTGCTTTTATTTTATTATTTATTTTATTTTAGGATAAGTTGAACTCTATCCTAACTGATATCACTATGTTTTCTAATCGTAGGCATTTTTAATAAGTTAGGCGTGATTAATAAAAAAATGTTATGCTGATGTTTTTTAATAAAATATTGTAAATATTCTTGCCTATTATCATTATTTTTGTATTTAAACAGTCATCTTACAATGTTACAAAATCAGGTAAAAATTTTGAACGTGTATTTCCCGTTGTGTATGAGAAGGGAAATCCCGTCTCGATCTCGTCTCGAAATTTTATGAGAAATAAAAAACCTCGTCTCGTCTCGTCTCGAACTAAAAATCCAATCTCGTCCATCCCTTTAACAGATAACAATGGAGTAATACATTTTGCAAAAAATATGGTATTCAAAATGAGGAAGGAAAAAGAAAACCCAGCCTCCAATGTCCACACAGCTGGCCAAGTTCTCTCTCCACTTTCTTTTTCCCTTCCTATATACTTTTAATTATTTATTTTTATTGAGTTTGCAGTGTTTATATAAACTCAAAACTCATAAACTAATACAACTTTAATAAATTGAACTGTCATACATTTGTTAAAAATCCTGAAAAATGCTACAATAGTATGGGTTAGGGTCGACTAGAGCATTGAAAAGTTCCCTCAAATCCATCCATCATTAAGAATTTCCATGACTATCCCTGACACCCTGTACTGTGTCTCTGTTTCACTCACATGATCTCGTTGTTCCTGATGATCTTGATGGCCACGTCCTGGTTGCCTCTGGCTCCGTCCCTGGCCCGGATCACGTTGGAGAACACCCCCTGACCTGTGTAGCCGTACACCACGTAACGGTTGTCCATCGTCTCCCCGATGCGGACACGGTAGTAACCCTCTGCGTCGTCCCAGTTGTCTGTCAGACTAGGGTTCTCAGGGAGCAGACCTCCCTTGGCCACCATGCTGGGGCTCTGCAACAAAGCAGGGGTACTACTGGTAAAATACTTTATTTTTGAAAGAAAGAGAAACATTGATTTTGGTTATTATAAGAATGGAAAAGAGTCCATTGCTAATACTCTTCAAGATTTTATTTCCAAAAAAATTGCACAAGTCTACATTGGATACGGAATAATATCGTGGCAATATTCCTCCGGAAGAGTCCTTGGGTAATAAGAGTTAGAATGGAGTCTCTTATTGAAAATACATCAGTTAATATTTTATAATAATAAAGAAAACACTGTATTTTCATGATTTCTACACTTTTCTATTTTAAGGAGAGCATCAGAATTATATATATATTATATAAACAAGGTATTTAACCCTTTGAGGTCAAATTTTGTTCTTTTTTCTGCGAGTATAGGTTGCCATTCAAGCAGTCGGGATGAAGAAAAAAATTTAACAAAAAACAAAAGTTAAACTCACATTCACTTGGCTCCCAAAGTTGTCCGCCTCAGCAAACATGTCCCATTTGCCGTCTTTCCGCTGCTGATTTTTCCCGTCAGCTTTGCCATCTGACTCTTTCTTTGTCTCCGGTTCAAACCTAGACTTGCGCTTGGGTTTGGCGGCCGGTGCTGGTGCGGGGGCTTCTGGCTCCATGGGGGGTTCATCTGCAGGCGGAGGCTCTAGTGCTACAGGACTACTGGTTAAGTTGGAGTCTTCACTGACTCCCAGCCTCTGGAAACATACCACAATATACATAAACAAACAGTAACAACTTTTGCTATAAACTGTTTGTTAACAATATGGCAAATAAATATACCCTCACTCACTCACTCCCATGGCCATTTATGCCGAATGCGGGATTTGACCGCACCAACCCTATCTCATATCTACATATATTTATATTATTTATTTATTATTATTTATATTTATCTATCGCATATTGGTAAATATGCATGTATAAAACTTTTTGGTATTTACAATACATTACGTCTTTGCTGATTGATTTGTTTATGGAAAAAAAATATTTGAGGTCATTTTACAATATTTTTCCTGATTTACAGTAGGCCCTATATAAAAATGCTCACAGAGTACGATGATATATTTGAACACGGACATAATATTTTAAACCTTTTTAAAGTTCCTTACCTTCAATAATTCCTCTCTCTGTTTTCTCCTCTTTTCAATGATCTGTTCCTCGTCCTCTTCTTCAACGTCAATGTTTATGTCTTCCAATCTAAATTTGGAAATGTGTATTAGCAGTACAACTATAAAACAGTTTATAGATATTTTTCATACAATATGGAATATCAGAGTGTACAGTCGAGGGAGGAGCCTATTTACCAAAGACATCGAAGGAGATAACAAGGCCCAAGCATTGTTGAGAAATCTAATAATTGGACGATGTTGCAACGTGCGCTAGTCCGGTCTTGGTATTGCCTGCCGCCAACTGCAGACTCTGTAAGTAACTAATTGCAATATACTTCTAGTTACCGTACCATAATTTCAGTAACAAGAGAAGAAAGAATGTTGACTTGGTACAAAGGTACATTACCGTTATTAAGGTTAGCAAAAAGTCAATCAAATGATCATGAGCATCATAAACTAGTACAAACATTAAGTTTAAGAAAAGTGTAGCAGACTTGCCCTCTTGTTATGTAAGAATAGTACTAGGCCTATCATTAAACAAATTCCAACCAAGGCATTTTTGCTCTATGTATATCCTTAGAAAAAAATGTGATTATAGTTTGAACAGGGTTTGTTGCATTAATTCTGATGTGTCCTTTTTTGAGAAATTAATTGTCTGGTAACAAGTAAGCCTGCACCGTCACAATCACTATTCTAAATTTTAATTAGAGGGAACACAAATTATAGAACACAGTGAAATGGTGTCCCGGGACTTTTTAGAAGAAGTTTAAATCTGAAAGGAAAAATATCTAAAAGAATTCTTTTACGCCATTTGATTTTGTGTTATTGTTGCCCAATGAAGCACAATTATCTAAGCGGCAGATAATGATATGGATGGTGGTGGAGTTTATGGGAAATAAATTATAGCTCTTGATTAGTTTTTAGTTCCGGTTCTTCAATTTCTATAAATCAAACACTATCTAGAGCCAACATAATACTTACTCAATAAAAGGTTAAATTACCTGTGTCCGCCTGTCGATCCTTATTTGCTGTGTCCTATTACAGGAGATGCATTTCGGCAGAATAAACTGCCATCATCAGTCCTACTATAAGTCCTTGTTCTTCCCCATTGGGTGCGTCTTGAAGTTTTTAAACACGTACACGAACGATATCACACTTAGATACATCACAATTAAAACATAAAAACACACGGTAGGCCTACTTTATTTGAGCTACTACGGACATGTAGACACGCGTCAGTCGTGTGTCGAGTATACAAAATAACATGCAGTGACTGTAATAAATTCTATATTGGACAGACTGGCAGACCATTTATTAAGAGGTTTAAAGAACACCTTCCCAAAAATAGTTTAACACAACAATCCAATTTTGCTGAACACCTAATTGACAGCAATCACAGTTATTCCAGCCTGAATGAAAATTTAAAACCTTTACACATTTGTAGAAAAAGTCGAGTAATGACATCACTAGAGCAATATGAAATTTATAGAGCATCTAAAACAACCCCCCACAACCTCCTGAATGATAAAAGTACTCTACAATCCAACATATTATTCGAAGCATTGTTAAAGTTGAATGAAACGCCACAAAGGACAGAGACAGGACAAAGGTCAACTCTGCAAGTAACGTCTGACCCCAGTCGAGACTCGACACACGACTGACGCGTGTCTACATGTCCGTAGTAGCTCAAATAAAGTAGGCCTACCGTGTGTTTTTATGTTTTAATTGTGATGTATCTAAGTGTGATATCGTTCGTGTACGTGTTTAAAAACTTCAAGACGCACCCAATGGGGAAGAACAAGGACTTATAGTAGGACTGATGATGGCAGTTTATTCTCAGGTAATTTAACCTTTTATTGTATGTCATACCGATCCGGAACAACAACAAACAATAATACTTACTCATCTGAGGACGATGAATTGTCCACTTTCAAGCCTTCTGACAAGCTGTCTTTGAATTTATCCGCTTTATCACGACTTGACTTGTGAGATCTGAAAGAAACATTACATTTACTCAAAAACAAAGGTATAAATGAGGGTTTATGTAAGCCTACATAATGTTGTGAGCAGAATTTACGCATTTGAACTTGCTCTGTAAGTAGTTCTAGCAGATGCCGCGCCGTGCATCCGCAGCACCATCACAACTCTAGCAGACAAATTAAACATGTTTTTGTTTATGGTGTATGATTTGTGATCGGACGAGCCACCAAGTTGAGTAACTCTTCAAAATCACTTGCTGTCATTCGTAAAAAAAATTAAAATCCAGCCTAAAACATTAAATCCCTTAACAAGGGAGTTTTAGGCACCTTTAAGCCACCCCTTCACCTTTGGCCAAAAAACTTCTAATCCACCATCTTGATCGCTTTCTACCTTTTAAACTAATAAATTGGTGATGTGCAATTAAATTTAATAAATTGATCAGTCAAAACATGAACAACTACCCCAGCATTTTTCTCGGCTCCTTCTGAGCTCCCCCGGGAAGAAGTTTGAGTGTGGCCGGTTCTAGGGGTAGGCCTAGCCTGACTTGGTGAATACCAGTTTATTCCCCCGCCCCCCTAACATTTTACGCCACAATTTTAACAAACAATATATTTGAAAACACAAAGAAGGAAAAATAATCTTTAGACGTAGCATGAAACATCTACTGAACACTTTTAAACATTATCAGGTTTGGTCTGTTTCTGTTTAGTTACTGACAATAAGACAAGACATCTAAGGCCCTTATTAGACGAGGCAGCCAAGTTGCGCAGCCAGCCGGGCAGCCAGTCGTCCAGCCAGTCACTGGGCATTGGTTCTTATGGAGCTTATTACACGAGGGCAGCCAGTTGCGCAGCCACAGTTTGGCTGCCGGCTGGTTGCCGAGCCCAGCGACCGCACAGGCAACCACTGGCTGCTCGGTCTGGTCGCGCACCTGTGTAGCTTACGGATCTTATTACACTGGGCAGCCAGTCGCCCGCTGCCACACATCAGTATAGTAGATCATCACTCGTGGAAGTGCGTTCATCTCTGCCGGTCACATCATTGTGCGTTGTTTTCCTCAGTATTCTTGTAATATAATTGTGTAATTGGTGTAATATAATCCTTTTTCTGTTCTTGACGAAAGAATAGGATGTATATGCATTCTCCTCTTCCTTCATCTTCTCTTTTTCATGAGTAGCAGAAGAAGCAAATATTCATCTCGCATTCTGACAGCGTCTCTCCCCAACAGAACTGTTCCACCAACACTGTTCCACTGTCAACAAGAGACTGGCCTAGTTGGTAATTTTGTGGCTGCTCTACTGGTTGCTACGCTAGGCAGCCAGACAGGCGACTGCCCGGCTAGTTGCGCAACTTGGCTGCCTCGTCTAATAAGAGCCTAAATTGGTCATCCCGCAAAATTACAAAATTTGCAATATAGACATGGTCACACCATTGATGGATTAATTTGCAACACCAAATTGAGCTACAGTACTCATCACAGAAAAAATAATGGAATGTTTAAAATTTGAAAAAAAGAATAGAACAATACAGCACCAATACTATGAACCTAATTAACAAAAGCAAAACATGTTAACAGATCTCGGTACTTTGGTGTTATACCAACCACACCGATAAATCGACTCCCAAATAACATTTTAATTAGTTTAAGAAACAAAATCTTCCAAACCTAACCTCACAACCCTTAGGTTAGGTTATAATTATTTTGCGTGGTCGGATAGATGTATAAGAAAATGATCAAAACCCCTACAACATAGCTGATTAAACAATGAGTTTACCTGGAGTGATATCTGTCTCTACTATCTGATCTTCGTCTCCTGTCTCTATCTCTGTCTCTTCTGTCCCTGTCATCTCTCTGATCTCTAGCATCTCGTCTGTCTCTGGATTCAATTCTATCTCGAGAATCTCTGTCTCTACCTAAAGAAACAATATGAAAGTAGAGAATACTGCAACTTGATTGACATATTACATTGTTTTTGAACAAACAAAAATTATGTAATGCTACAGAGGATTAGTTTGCAGGACCATATTTCCCTAACGGCAGACACGGTGACTGCTAGGGCCCTCGTCTAGGGGGAAAAACATACCTTACAGTATGTTTCTTGGAAAAAAAATTAATTTTACTGATAACTCATTCAGGAATTCTTTTTCAAACTAAGTTTTTATTCTGGTTATTACCGAAAGCATCTGCTAAGATTGGGCGTTTCAAGGTCACGATGTTGATGTGATCACTGAAAACGATTTTGAAGTCTCTGCGATCAAAAAATTTTTTATCATGCAGTGAATGTAAGAGATGTTTACAATTTCACTGCAACCACAGGGGACATCATGATTTTGTTGTGAACAAGGACAATGTTCATGATTTTGCCGCAATTGGCACAAACAAATTGTAGGCCAAGTATAACAGTTAATATTCAAAAAAAGTTAATACTTTCCAAAGAAATTTAATTTTGACCTGGCCTGATTTTGCCAATGAAAGACCCTAAGGTCAATATTTTTTACTCAATCGAAGTGAAAAAACTTTTGGCTTACAAACTCCTAATATAGACCTATGAAAAAAAATAATAAATAAATAAATATTAGCTATTCTCCTAGTCCTTGTCTCAATTTATCAATTGGATCAATTGAGCAACTTAGAAGTACAAGAAAGAATTGAGTTTAAGTTACAACGGCGTCTCATATATTTCTAACCCTCTAATCTCTCGCCAACGGAGAATCAGAATAAAGAGGCTTTTCTGGAGTGAGCCACCAGGAGATTAGATTAAATAGTTATTTGTGCAACTAGTGAGCAAAGTGAGCAACACTTTTCACTCGAGTTAGACATTATATTTTTCCTACAGTTACCATAAAACAAATAAATTGGTAAAGAAACGTAACATATTTTTACACAGAAGTGAACTTTTAATATGATGAAGTGTTGTGACAAATACAACAGTACAACAGCTGACCAGCTGATTTACAGCCAGTGCTGCCAACGTATTTCGCGCGCATACGACCTTGTCTGCATGTTACGCGCTCACTATTTTGTGCCTTCAAGTTGCAAATCTGGAATGAGACAAAGTAATTAGGGTGAGACAATGTCAACATTGTCTCACTGATGAGAGAATTGGCCACTTTGCTTTCTCAAATCAGTGAGAGAACATGTACATTGTTAGGTAACTGTAGGAAAAATTAATTCCTGATCCGTTGTACAAATCAGTTATTGAATGATTTTATGACAGTACCTATCAATTCAGGATGAGCTGTTAAACACAAAGATTACTAGAGGTTGAGTGTAGATTGGATTTAGATAATTTGGTACTAAGATTAGTCAAGTGTGACCTCTTTAGGCAGATCTGTTTGTTCTTAATGATATAGGCCTATGTACATTTAACATTTATAAATAAGTCATATAGACCAAATACGGAAATTGACACAAAAAACCTATATTAATTTTAATATATAAAAGAAAGTTGTGTTAGTTACAGCGTTTATAACTAGAAAACTACTGAACCAATTGGCATGAAAATTTACAGGGATATTCCTTAGGTACTAGAATAACATAATAGCCTGTTTCCGTTTCAAAAACCCTTAAGGGAAGCGTCCAATGGCCCTTTGCAGTTTACATGTTAATCTTATGGAAGAATGTTTTATTTTGTTTACCACGCCATGTTTGTCATTTCTTGATTAAATTAAATTAAGGAAACAGCTGTTGTAATGATAACCTAATTTTTAAAAACAAATCTATGCATAACAAATGAGAGCTATCAAATAGGTTTCTATTCCATTTGTTTTTTACGAATATTTGTTGTCAAATGTAACTGAAGGCGAGTGAGCGCAGCGAACGAGCTCCAACCTAAAGGTGAGTGAGCGTAGCGAACGAACTTCAACCAGGACGTGATTGAGCCATGCGAACGAGCTCATCTTGAAAATCAACGAGCATTTGACATAAAACCACATTAGGACAGGACGACGTCTGTCGGGCCAGCTAGTTGCTAATAAAGCAGAAAACCAATTGTTTTAACAAAACTTACCTGTAAGAGACCTGCTTCTTCTACCCTCTCGTCCTCTGCGTCTGTCTTCTTCTCTTCTCCTATGAACAGAAACAAAGACAAATAAAAACTCTACAAGCTTAATGTGTTTATTGGACTTACATCACAATAGCAAACAAAATCAATCGACCACTAAATATTTCCCAGTTTACCTATTGGGTTTTGTCTGTTATTTTTATTTTGGTGTGGAAATAAAAGTATTAACCAACGTGGGATGGAAAAAACAAAAGGCAGTTCTTTTAGTATAAAGTAAGACAAAAAATTACTCATTACAAAAACACGGGGTTTCTTTTAAATTAAATAAAAGTTTTTGGCACACCTCTCCACAGGATTAACTCAAAGATTGTTTACAATCATACATCTGAAAAAATATTATTTTTAAATTACTTTTATACCATTGTGATTTTTATTTATAAACCTTTACTTCAAAATCAGTTACCCTCTTTCTTAATCCACATGTAAAATTATAAGACATTTGATTCTTTAAGTTACCTGTCATCGTCTCTTTTACGGAAATCTTCCTCTCTTCTTCTGATGTCATCTTCTCTTCGTTTTATTTCCTCTCTTCTTCTTTCGTCTTCACGACGTTTCATATCTTCCTCCCTCTTTCTTTGATCTTCTTTCCTCCTGGCTTCTCTCTTACGATACTCTTCTTCTTCTTTCCAACGTGTGTCATCTCTATTTTTTCTAGGATCTCTATCTGCCGATCGGTCTCTGTGGGACTTTTCTTTCACATCTTTCTTGCTGTCGCTTCTTCTGACTTTCCGATCTTTGCTTGCACTCCTAACAAAAAGGAATTTCTTAAAGTTTTTTATTGTTATAAAAAAAAATTTCAATAACTAACTATAAATCATCATTACAGTAGTCCTCAAGTGTGTCTAACTTTTACTCATGTTCAATATTAACACATTATAAAACTAGACATTTAGGCTATAGCCTATAAAAAAATCTAAAATTTTATCCACAAGCATTAAGGCCGGTATTCCGAGCTGCCGAATTTGGTTGCCAAATACGGCCTACATTTTTCACCACCAAATCAACACCCAAAGGTCAGGTGTTTTCCTAACAACCGAATTTGACGGACTGTAATCTTGCCGCGGACTGTGAGGCAAGCACTATACCTAGAGCAGTCATTCCCGCAACCCGCAGTGACATAGACGTGCCCCAGGACAATAATTTTTTGGTATGTTCAGTAGTGCTAGTGAATTGTAATATTTCTCAGTGACTTTGTGTTACCTCAACTGGTTAAGTTGATATATTTCAGATACAGGCTTCTTTAGATTCTGAACAAATTTTACATAAAAACTGAGACAATTGATTTTGTTTGAAGATGTTTTTTATTGTCAATGTCGTACCAAAATAACGGTTTTTTGTTTAAGGGTAAACAATTAAACTAGAACTAGTTGCGGAACATGAATAGAATCTATGTAAAACGCCGCAAATTACGATTTACAGAACATCTTAAAAATAGGCCAACTCTGCTATTGAATATCACAGGAAATCTAGGACAATGTCCTTACCGCAGCCGCATTTAGCAGCTAAGAAAATCCACTTTTACTCAATTACAAACAGTTATCTGGACAACTCATGTCAAAACTAAAACAGGGTGTCCACAAAAAATTTGTCATTAATTTCCATGACTTTCCATGACTATCCATGACCATTTACCATTGATTTCCATGACTCACGAACTTTACACGCAAATTATAATATAACATACACACACAAATATAACTGCCTGGACATGTTATTTTGCAGAAAATACTGAAATATGTAATAACAGATAACAATGGAGTACAATAGGTACAACAATGAACTAAAACAAACCAAAAACTCATAAAATAATACAACTGTAATAAATTGAATTGTCGAACATTTGTGAAAAATCCTGAAAAATGCTACAAGTCCGGGTTACAGCTGACTAGAGCATTGAATGGTCCCCTCAAATCCATCCATAATTGGAAATTTCCATGACTTTCCATGACATCTTGCCTATTTCCCTGACTTTCAATGACCAAAATTGTTTTACATGACTTTCCATGACTATCCCTGACTTTCCAGAATGTGGACACCCTGTAAAACCAAGAAATGGTTTAAAGCTTTTTTACTACAATTTATCTTACCTTGACCGTCCTCGCTTTTTTTGTTTCTTGTATCTCCCATCGTCAGATTCATCATCGACCAAATTGATGACTTCAGGTTCCCCATTGGAACTATCCGTCCCTGACATATAAGCTCCCAAAGCTGCGTGGAGAAGAGCCTAGGAAAAATATAGATTTTTATAAAAATCATCAATCAATTTCTTTAAGACACAAAAGGATTAAAGTTTCTCATGCATTTAATAGAAACCATAGGCCTATGGTTTGATTATCTTTGGGTCAGCACTATTGCCAGATTATTTTTTAAAATAGTTTTTACCAATCAATGTCTAAATCTGGATGTCTAATCTGTACTGGTCTCTGACTATGTTCTAACAGTATACTCTTTGAACAGATTAGCGTATAAGTAGGTTTTCCTAAAACAAATTTAATTCTTTGTAACTTAATTAATTATGAAAATTTAAAAAAATCTATTGACTTCAACCTTTACCTTTTGCTTCATCAGCTCGTCTAAGTTCATTTGTTCCTCCAAAGGCCCTGTAGGTATGTCTACATCCGAGTCTATACTTTTACTTCCATTTGTCAACGATCCATTCTTCCCTTCTCCTTTCACTTCTCTCTTGCTGCCATCCCCTGACACTATCACAGACAACTTTTCTTTGGGTTTCTTCTCCTTCTTGCTTTCTTTGATATCTCCATTCTCCGCTTCTTTCTTGCTTTTGTGCTTCTTATGCTTTTTCCTAAATAGAAATTAAAACTATTACAGTATAAGCCAACTAATATCTGAAAACTGTGTGTTCTTGTAGGTCAATCATGTGAACATTTTTACAATTTGACTGATATTTTGGTGATCAAGATTTAATATTGTTAGTGGAGATCGATCAATTATACTGTATAAAGTAAATAGAATTACAGAAAAACGTCACCATAATGCTTTTGTCCTCCCAGGATGAAACCAGATCAAAAGGAGAACTAACAACACGTACTTAATACCTTTTGAAATACCGTAGTTGAAATTATATTTGATCCACACTATAAACAATATAAAATATAAACGTTGCAAGTATAAAATAAAGTCATAATAGACATCATTCCTAAATGTTCTACTCCTTTTGTGAGCGTTAACTATTAACTGAACTAACTTACTACTTACTAGTACTAATATTGTTTTATAGAATAGTAGGCTAGGCGCTCTAACAACCTTTTGTACAAAGTAATTAGAGTTGTGAATGCATACCTTTCCCCAGAATGTTTTTTATGTTTGCTATGATGTTTATGTTTCTTCTTTTTCTTCTTCTTCCCGTCCGACTCATCTTTGCCGGAATCCTCAATAATCACCTCAGGATCAGGTTCCTTATCTTTTAGGGGTTCTTCAGACTTATCACTTATTAGAGATTCTGTGTCGGTCGAACTGAAAATATAAAGATCTGTTACAGCCTGGATGTTAAAACCTATGAGCAATATTCTGGAAGCCTAAATCACCCGAGAGAAGATTAAAAATAAGATCACATGTTTACAATTTACAAGAAGATAAGGACGGATAAAAAGAGTTAAATTTTAAAAGATAAAGTTGTTTGAACATTAACTTAAACATGTGCAACATTTTAAAGCAAGATGGAATTAAGAATTAATAACCAGGCAAAAACAACTATGACTTAGTTTTCACATTCGCGGACAGAACAATGGGAAATCTGGAAGAGAATACCCACACATTAACTGCAGAGAACAAAGCAATACCGCGCCTCCAATGAAAAATCCTAAACGAAAGCAAAACTGTTCATATGACTTTCACCATCAAACGCAACAACACATAGGCTACATTCCAATACCGGGACTACAAACACAAAATGCCTTATTATAATTTATTTTAAGCTATCCTGGAAACCCCACATAGACCAGCTCTGCAAAAAGCTAGATAGGCATAATCGAGTCTCTACGTATACGTAGGATCAAGCAAGAGGGCCTATGGAGCCCAGAAGTAGCCAGCGTCTGCCTATTTTCTCTATTTGAGTCCCACCTGAGATATGGCATAGCGACTTGGGGAGGAACATCAAAAGGCAACCTCGTAAAGCAAAAAAGGGCAAGTTGATGCTCGGCCAATCTAAACTACGAGAAGCTTTCAAGAACCTTTAAGTCCTCACATCAGTTACACTCCATTTAAGAGAAGTCATCATACACACCACTACAACAGTGCAGCTAAGACACAGAGACGTACACTAGCACAACACCAGACTTGCCATCAATTTTTCCCTCCCACAACACCACCTGAGTCCGTTCGAGCAGAAAGCATCCTACAAAGGCCTCGCTACTTCAACAACCTACCAAAGCACCTCAAGAGAGAACAACCCAGTCTGTTCAAGAAGCTAAAAAAATTACATCTGAACCCACCGTTCTACTCAGAGAATGAGTTCCTGAACTATGAGCCAAAAAAAATAAAAAATATTGTAATCTAATTGTAAATAATTGATAAATTAAATGTCTTTATTATTTTGTTTACATGGAAAACATGCATTGCAAATCATTAATGTTAATTTATAAAATTTGCATAAGCCTATATTGTAATTCTGTAAATTGTTAATTTGTAGGCTATTACAATTGGTCGTGTTTGTAGTAATTGGATGAAGTGGAAAACGGTTTTTAATAAGCCAATGAAATTTATCTTTTGTAGTAAGAACCCAGGATAAGTTTTTTAATAACTTGAGCAACTTCAAAATAGTGTTTTTTTCATTTACTCATAAGAGTAAACACCTTTCAGGTATAAACCTGAAGTTATGTTATGCAGGTAGAAGAGCGACATCTCACATGGGAATAATGGGCTGAATAAAAGTCGTAAAGTTGTCCCACATGTATGACTGGGACGGGTGGTGTCGTCCTGTAATCTAGCTACTAGGAGGTCACGAATTGTGGATATTTATAGGGATGCACTGTGGACGCGATTCTCCCTGGTGTGGATTAACGTCCGCACTAGTGAGTACTACGACTATCTGCAGTACTATCCTGAATCCTGATAATTAGACCAATTCGTAAATTACAAGGAAAAATGTGGTTCGGATTCCACTATAAACTGTAGGTCCCTTTAGTTGCCATTAGCTGTATGGGCTATTAATTAACAGCTGTGTCTAAGGAACATGTCAGACTTAGTCACTAACAAGACTACAAGATCGCGGAACTCATCCTACACTCATCCTTCACTCATATTTGGGTTAAAATACGCACATAGTGGCGTCCCCATCTTAAATAATTGATAATTGATAAATTGATAATTTGTTAGTTGTAATTGTATAAACTGACACATTAATGAATGTCTTGTAAAAAGATTTCAATTGAGAATGTGTCTATTGTTCATTATTGTAAAATTTAACTAGGGCAATTCCAACCTTCTAACTTAGATCCCATGTGCCATGTGCAGCGCATCACTATTTCATACATATACCCGGCGCGCAAGAAAAAAAGGTAAGTTACTGGCCAGAATGTCTTACTGTCTGGGTACAACAAATGTCAGTCTCCGAAACGTCTGAATTTTTCCAGAAACAGACACAAATCTCACCTCCCTCACCCCTCCTTTTGCGATCTGCAAACTAACAGGATCGCTGTTTTAAGTAGGCTACCTAAGTCTAAGAGTACGGTTTTGTCATTATCAATTTGGGTTGGTTTCATTAATATGCAACAGTTTAGCTTCACATAGGGGATACGGGGAGAAACCAGAGGATTTAGGATGTAGCCTAGTTTTGGAGTTTTAACGTCTGTTTAACCATCTAACTTATTTGAAAAATGTAATAGAAATCACTTGCTATTGAATTGATCAATAGTTCTCTCCTGCCAATCCAAGTAATTCACTACCTAGTCCATAAAATCATCCCCGTCAGGGATTCATTGTTGACTAGTGGTCCAAGGCATTTATTAATTTCAATGCAGCTCTGAAAATTTCTAGGCCTAAAAAACTTACCGTGCTTGCATTTTTGAAATAGTAATTTGAAGTGTTTTTTCTGGATTTTAATTTTACAAAAACAGTCTGCAGGCGACATAGACATTAAGCATTTTTGAAAAAGTAATTTGAAGTGTTTTTCTCAGGATTTTAATTTTACAAAAACAGTCTGCAGGCGACATTTAAACTAACAACTCGATACATTATAACCTAAACTTTAACTTATCTAATCTAACCTACCTTCAAAGGACTTAATGCAGTCACCAATTCACATACAGCACGACCTATCACCCTGACATGCCTTTTCTGACATCAAAAGGAGTTTGCTTACACATTCTAGAGGTTTGGTTAGGTTAGGTTATGTTAGATTAGCACCATTTTATTAGGTAATTTCTAAACGGCGAAATATAAATCAATAAATCATTAATAAGGATAAAATACTGGTAACAATAATACATTATTAACTTATTGGTCTTAAGCCCCCCATACACGGGCGAGCATGTTCGCGAGCATGCTCGTGACGGTGTTGGCGACGAACATGCTCGCCCGTGTGTGGGATCCGTCGCGGCGAGCATGTTGGGCTCGGCGCTCGGCTCGTCGAACTTGACGAGCTCGAACACGAACATGCTCGCCCGTCTGTGGGGACGACCATATGTTCGAGAGCATGTTCGCCGCTGCAACTTGGGTAGAGATAGGCTAAATGATTCCATCCATGTAGCCGCTACTATGATTCCAGTTACAATCGTGGACTCATTACAAGTAACCGTTCCGGTTCCAAACGATTACTTCGTTACCGCCATTACAAAGTAGCCGCAATAAACAGATTGCACTTGTAATCATCGTGGTGTTGAAACTCTGATGTATTCCAGTTACAGTAATAGATTTAGAGTCAATGTTTACAGAAGCTAAATAAATATTTATTTGTGTTTGTAACGCGATAAATACAAATGAGTTTCCAAAATAGAGGGTTCATCAATTACAATACGTATATTACTACACAAATGTGTACAATCAATTCTGTAGTAATTTGTCACAATTAAATAATTCTAAGAAAAGCTAGAATAAGCAAAACTACGAGAAATGTTATTGCACAACATGGAATTTTAACCAACATTATTTTCTAACCATGACGGATGAATTTAATCCGATAACTTAAGGCCTGGCACAAACGGTCGATTTTTAGATCGGCCGATTAAGTTACAAAATCGGCTAAAAATAAATCGACCCTGATTTATGTCTAAGAAATAACGCGTATGTTGCAAAAAAAAAAAAAAAAAACTAAATGCTGTAGGCCTAATTGCAGCAAAAAAGCAGGAGTAGGCTAAATAGGCCTAAACACAACTGGACTTTCACAGAGCACAAGAGAAGCAAGAATAGGCCTAGGAACCGCTACCGAGCAACGAGCATGTTCGCGAACATGCTCGCGAGCATGCTCGTCCAGGTCTCTTGGAAACGCCAAGCATGTTCGCGAGCATGCTCGTCCGTCTGTTGCCAACGCCGAGCATGTTCGCGAACATGTTCGCCAACATGCTTGCGAACATGCTCGCCCGTGTATGGGGGGCTTTAGAAAGTGAAAAGTGTAGGCCTAACTTAATCAGGTGATTTTCATATTGCAGAATCAGAATTAGCTAATTCAAGTTGTCACTTCCATTTGCGTGACTATGATTGAAAACAATCAGCTGTTGGTTTAAGTTACTTAACCCATAGTTCATTCCACCTGTAAATGTCATCCACCCTACCTTGTTTATTGTAATGTTGTATATTATTACGGCGATATCTTGAGAAATATTCCTCAGCTGTGAAAAATAATGCTATATTTGGATTCAGGAGGTAAAAAACTATAAAGTAAGATATCAAAATTAGAAATTCGTTTGGAGGCACCTATACGGAATAATTACCTATTTACCGTATCAATACCTATTATTTCATTCGAATTTGAGTGTCTAGGACATAACTTACCAAAGTGCAGCCAATTAATTATCAGGACAGATTTTTACGTAGGCCTACTGGTAATTAAAAAACCAATCTTAGAGATAGGGTCTAGCCTATTACTTAGGATTGGACTGTTAAAACTTACTTAAGTTAAGTTTACCACTGATACCGAAGCCATACCCAGGCTGACGCTTACCGAAACATCCAGTCTGTTCAGACCTCATTTGAAATAGCCTACTGGACCCCGCTTAGAAACACACAAAACGAAACCCTGGGCCTGTGAGATCCCCTCTAAAATAGACTAACGCTGGCCTTCTAAGACGGGCATGTTATGAACAGAAAACCTGTCAAGGTCACGGAACCCTCGCAAATAGAACAAACAATAGATCAACAGGTAGGGGAGGAAAAGGGGGGAGGGTATTGGGGAGAATTCTTCAAGTAAACAATGTTGCCAACATGCGTTAATGAAAATCCTGTGGGCCAGTCTGTTACCGGAGTTTTGGTAAAAGGGTTAGCCTAAGATTCAGGCCTAGCCTAGATTAGTTCTCATGTAAACTTAATCTTGCATGGCCTGAATCATAGAAAATCCAATGGTTAGTACTACAACTGATAAGCCTAGCCAAATTTGCCAAGAACAAGAAAATGGTTAAAAGTTCAAAAAACTAAAATAGGCCAAGGCCTATGCCAAAACATTACAATAGGCCTAGATACCTAAACTATTAAACATAATTTGAATATGTGCTACGTATGAGTAAAATGTTATTCAACTTACCCCATTTTTATCTGTTGATCGAGGAAAATAGAATATAATTAGGCTATTGACAACTAGTTGATTGATAGTCAAGGATGATGGCCGTAGACGATCCTAGTTAAGTTATGCCTCTAACACGTCTTTATGATAATCGATTACAATGGAAATCTGAGCAAAAAATAATAATTAAGAGTACCAAAACAAAATTAGCGAATGATTTGATATATTAATGAAGTACCTATCTAGTTCACTGATGTATTTTTAATGGATTGATGGATGATTATTTTCTTGGTTACGGTTATGTTACGTACGTACGCTCTAACTCTGGTGGGGGGGACTGGACTGGAGCGGAGGGAGAGTGGAGTGAAGGAAGACGGTCAGTCGGATCAGGTTGACTTAACAGAACGAGTCAAGGCATGGAAAGAGAATTTGAAAATAATGGACTTTTGTTCTCTAGGCCTATAATCATTACTACTAATGATTGTAGAGTGTTGTAAAGGGGGATGTAATTTGATTTAGTCAATGGAATAATAAACAGAATTAATAAAAAATGGAAATAAAACATTAATAGAAAATAATGTTAAAAGTTAATATATTAAATTTAACTCATTTCAACTGTTAAAACCAACTTCATCTATAAGTTTCATTAAAACAATCATGCATTAATAAATTGAACAACAGTATAATGCGTAAAACAAGTAATTAAAACAACGTAAATAACAATGAATGAATGAATGAATGAATGAATGATATACAACAGTAGCAGAGTTAAATCAATAACGCTAATATTAACTATATAACGAATGGTCTTGAGTAGTAATAAAAACTATTGATAAGAACAGCTATTTGGAAATGAGCTAATGTATAAAGTCAGGAGATATGCAATTTTAACAACATTTTGTAATACTCAGATGACTGTTAAGAGCCATTGGTTACCCGCCACAGCCTAAACATTGTTTTAAATGGGAGCCTTCAGACACGGCCACTCCAATTGCCCCTGCCCGTCAGAACACAGTGGCCGAGCATTGTCTCCTTGCGCAACTGTGAGCCGGCAACTACAGTGGTGGCAACACGTCACGGCAAGCCACTAGTAGCCGCCACCACGGAAAAGTGGGCATCAACTGTTTTGGTGTAAACAAAGACGCGTAGAGACAGACGCATTGTTTGGGCTAGTTGTGGAGTGGTTTTCTGTTAAACTCTTTAGAATGAAATGAGCGAGCAGTTGAAAAATAAGGAGGAAGTTACGTCAAAAAGTACGAAAAGAATTAGGAATTAAAATGTAATCTCTTATTCTGTTCTTCAAAAATCACAAAAGACAAAATAAATACTGAGGATCTCATTTACGAGATTGAAATGCACTCGGCAAATATTTGATTGGTAACTCGGGAAGAAGATGTTCAATGTTCATTGCTCGTCAGCATTTCCTTAACTCATATTATGTGGCTATTGGTGGCGTGGCTTTTGTAGTTGCCTGTACCGTACCATAAACTGCAGTTGCCCCGGTTCCGCGTGGCCTCGTGTGAAAGCTGAAAAGGCCCTTTTAGTAGTCAAGTTTTTTAAGGCAACTGTCCAAACCCTTTGTGTTCTAACATGAACTAGTCAATATATAATCAATAAAATAATTGATTGATTATACAATGCACAAACTTCTTGCAGAATGTTAAGATAAAAATAAAATCAAATTTATACAGGTATACTGATACTAGGAGTACGCTCCGAAGTCACGTATGAGAATGAACGAAGACCATATCATCCATACAAACAATTTGCCAACAATAACCATATTATTATCAGCTGATTAAGCAGGATGGTTTATGACAAAGCCAACCTTGGTCCAAGGTCATAAGGCAGGTTTGATATTGATCAAATCCACAAAGGGAACAGGTAAATATTCCCAGTTTCTGCAATGTATAATCAAAGAATATTTCAATGTGTTACAAAAACAGCAATTGTTCTAATATGCTGAGTAATAGTAATATAGGTTTCACAATCTATCACCAGGAGCTGTACCATTTTCAAATACCAATGCTGTAGCAAACCTGCAAACTAAGCGAATTTCCATTTACCTAGCTGGATTTTTACTAAAATATTCCCTTACAATTGTAAGATTTATTTCATAGTACCTGGGGACCGAGCTTTGCTCGGGGAAAATCATTAGTTTACTCTGAAAGCAGTCTTAGTATTGCAGATACATTAATCCATCTCAAACTCCACAATGCTCGCTCTTACTACTTCTTTCCCATAGCATTTTAGGATTTCAGATACATTATTGCAAATGCCACATAGTTCCCACACTCTGCACTGCTAGCCTTACTACTTCCTTTACCATTTCCTACGTCATGGGCCTGTGTCCTTCCCTTCTCATAGCATTTATGTATTACAGAATGATACATTAATCTAACTAACACAATGGTTCCCACACTCAGCGATGCTAAACTTTACTACTTTCTACACCACTTCCTACTTCGTGGACCTGTTTTCATATTATTCCATAGCATTTTAGTATTTTAAATACATTAATCTAATTGCCACAAACATTTCCCACACTCCGCACTGCTAGTATTTACTACTTCTTTCACCATTTCCTATGTCATGGACATGTTTCCATCCATTCTCATAGCCGATGGATATGAGTACCATTCTCATAGTGGATTTATGTATTGCAGATACATAAATCTAACTGTTACAGACGGTTTCCAGTTCCCACACTGCTCGCCATTACTACTTCCTTCAGCACTTCCTACGTCGCGGACCTTTTTTCCTCCCATCCCATAGCATTTTAAGATTGCAGATACTTATTCTAATCGTCATAAATAGTTCCCACACTCCGGACTGCTCACCTTTACTACTTCCTATGTAGCGGACCTGTTTTACTCCCTTACCATAGTATTTTAGGATTGCAGATACCTTAACCTAATTGTCATAAACAGTTCCCACACTCCGGACTGCTCGCCTTTACTACTTCCTTCACCACTTCCTACGTCGCAGACCTGTTTTACTCCCTTACCATAGTATTTTAGGATTGCAAATACCTTAATCTAATGGTAATAAACATTTCCCACACTCCGCACTGCTAGCATTTACTACTTCTTTCACCATTTCTTATGTTGTGGCACAGAAAACGTACTACTATAACCCAGAATGCCAACCGCATGGTACAAAGCATTAAGCGGTTTGAGAGAGCTTTGCCTGTCAATCCGTAGGCAGCGCCACCAGCGTTGCCATGCAATAGCATAGCAACGCTGGTGGCGCTGCCTACGGATTGACAGGCAAAGCTCTCTCAAACCGCTTAATGCTTTTTACCATGCGGTTGGCATACTGGGTTATAGTAGTACGTTTTCTGTGGTTTTGGACATGTTTCCATCCCTTCTCATAGGATTTCAGTATTGCAGATACATAAATCTAACTGTTACAAACGGTTTCCAGTTCCTACACTGCTCGCCATTACTACTTCCTTCAGCACTTCCTACTTCTCGGAACTTTTTTCCTCTCTTCCCATAGCATTTTAAGATTGCAGATACCTTAATCTAATGGTCATAAACAGTCCCACACTCCGGACTACTCACCTTTACTACTTCCTTCACCAATTCCTACGTCACGGACCTTTTATCCTTCCTTCCCATAGCATTTTTAGATTGCAGATACCTTATTCTAACCGTCATAAATAGTTCCCTCACTACGAACTGCTCGCCTTTACTACTTCCTACGTAGCGGACCTGTTTTACTCCCTTCCCAAAGCATTTTAGGATTGCAGATACTTTAATCTAATCATCATAAACAGTTCCCACACTACGGACTGCTCACCCTTACTACTTTTTTCACCACTTCCTACCTCACAGACCTGTTCTCCTCCCTTCCCATAGCATTTTAGGATTGCAAATACCTTAATCTAATGGGCATAAACAGATCCAACACTCCGGACAGCTCGCCTTTTCTACTTCCATCACCACTTCCTACGTAGCGGACCTGTTTCCTTCCTTTTCTATAGCATTTTAAGACTGCAGATACTTTTATCTAATCGTCATAAACAGTTCCCACACTCCGGATAGCTCGCCTTGACTACTTCCTTCACCACTTCCTACATCGCGGACCTGTTTTTCTCCCTTACCATATAATTTTAGGATTTCAGATACCTTAATCTAATCGTAATAAACAGATCCCACACTCCGCACTGCTCGCCTTTTCTACTTTCTACGTAGCGGACCTGTTTTACTCCCTTCCCATAGCTTTTTAGGATTGCAGATACCATAATCTAATCGTCATAAACAGTTCCCACACTCCGGACTGCTCGCCCTTACTACTTCCTTCACCACTTCCTATCTCATAGACCTGTTCCCCTCCTTTCCCATAGCATTTTAGGATTGCAGATACCTTAATCTAATTGTCATATCAGATCCCACACTCCGCACTGCTAGCCTTTACTACAATGTATCGAGTAATCTTCAGTATAATCTTTGCTCAATAGTAACAAGTGATGTTTTTCCTTTTGTACTGTATTTCGTAATTTGCTAGTATACTGTAGGTAGATGCCTTTATAAACACATGCTACAACTTACAAGACTTTTGTTTAATTTTTTCTTGTTATTTAATTCAACTAACATGGTTACTTAGCAACCCATAAGACTATTGTAAAAAAAATGTGACTTTCAGTTTCATTTTTCTACGTAATTAGATTTTTTTGGCAGTTCTAACTGCAGTAAACTCGTTTTAAGGACAGAAATAAATTATTTACAACATTTAAAGAAAATTGTCGAAGCCATTTTTGAGATCTATCTGCAAGCAAGCATACATACATACATATATACATACATACATACAAGCAAACATTGCTCATATTAGAGTATAGGATTTAAATCACTTTATTTTAATGAGTAATTAGGTTTGCTGATACAGAAAATGAAACCACATTTGTTTTTGTATTGAAATGTTCATAGCTTAGTATGAAATAAACAAAATTGCTAAATCTGATTAAAATATATCAATAAACAAGTAAACAACACTTTATTTATTCTTCGTAAGAATAACATGGAAATTTTAAATTTAATTTTTTTTTATTATCTTCGTAACACAAAACCAATATCTCTGTAAACCTTTGAACAATATCTCCGTAAGTTAAACCGTTAGGCATAAAATAACGCTTCAATTTATTTTCTCTTGTAAGCTGTACAAAATGATCTGGTAAGAAATTGTGAAATTTTGTGTTTCAGGGTCAAAAATGGGAAAACCCAACTTTTACCCCATAAAACACCTTACCATATAAACCCCCATTCCCATAGTCTGATCATGCTAGGTCACAAACTCGTTCAAATAA